ACATGCTGGCCATGTACATCGACGTCGAACACAAGACATAGGATGCCATCTTTGCGTATGTGACCTTCGCATACAACACGGCCGTGCAGAAGACGACGCAGATGGCACCACACAAGTTGGTCTACAGAACAAACCCAGCAACAACGCTCGACACCACGCTGCCCAACGTCGCTGACGAATAAAACTTCTACATCACCGTCTACCTGATGCTTGCTGAAGAAGCCCAACAACTCGCCCACCTCTGCATCAAGAACTAACAGACAACCGACAGCCGCCATTACAATCTCCGACGAAGCTTTGTGGAATACCAGCCTGGTGTCCACGATTGGGTAAGGATGATGATACACCAACATGGGCATAGCACAAAAACTTTTGCGAAGGTACTTTGGACCGTACAAGGTTGCTCACCGTCTTGACCCACTTGACTATGAGGTTGTCCCCGAAGTCACTACGAATTCTCAACGGCGCCATGCACAGCCTGAAGTTAGCCATGTCGTCTGCCTTAAGCCCATTCGACTACAAGGTTATCACCGAAGGCATTACAAATTCTCAACGGAGCCATGCACGGCCTGATATCGCCCGTGTCGTCCGCCTCAAGCCATTTCATGTGCGAACCTGAGGACTGTATTTTGTTCTGGACTGTGCTTTATTGCTTGTACTTATTGTTTATTTTCTTGCTTTATTTTCTTTCGTCTTTTGCTAAAGCATCGGAACGATGCCTTTTTCGGAGGGGAAGCAATGCCACATTCCTTCCTTAAGTTTTGTTATCGCCCGTTACACTACTCGGCTGCTGACCCGCAGGGCGCGGGTTCGAATCCCGGCTGCGGCGGCTGCATTTCCGATGGAGGCGGAAATGTAGGCCCGTGTGCTCAGATTTGGGTGCACGTTAAAGAACCCCAGGAGGTCTAAATTTCCGGAGTACATCATTTTGTTAAGATTACGCGCACTTCAGGAACATTACAGATTATTCTGGAACCTACGTAGCCACTAGCGATGATGCTAAAATATTCTACGGCACATGAATAAATGCCGACGCGCTTCACCACTCGTCAGTTGATCGACTGCCGACACTGTGTTCGCCGCCAGTTTGTATTGCTGTAGTCAAACCTTCTGTTTCCTGGTCACAAGTTCCGCTAAATAAACAGTTTCAGCTCTTACCTACAATCTGCTCCCTATGTCCACGTCCCCCGTCACAACATTCTTTAGGGGTGGCACACGTGCACTTTGGTTCTGTAGCTTTCTTCTCACTGCCACAAAACGTTGTCATGATTATACTGTTGAGTGTTCAGTGTAAACTCATGAACAACTGAAACCTGGATTTCATCCTCTGGTTGGTTTAGGGGCCCTTTAACAACCGCTCAGTTTCAGAGATTTCCATTTACTAATGGTCCACTGTATTGAATGTGGTACAATCTTCTAGTTACTAGCACACGTTGCCTGTTTGTCAAAGGATACGCTGTTGACAACCAATGACACAGAGTTGTCCCTTCCTCTTAGATTAAGTGAATTTAGGCTTCTTTATTCACCGAGCCACTTGTTCAATTCTTTGGGCTTATTCTTGTCACACTGACAACACTTTTGACACCAGGATTTCTGCAAAATGAGCTTTTAAATGCGAAGCATTTCTTAGCGAACTTCAGCGACTTTGAGCGTATCTATCTATTTATCTGTCTAGCCGCTCAGGTTTGGGTGCTCTCGTGGTCACCCCCTTAACTTGGCGTGAACCAAAGTTAGCATGGGAGGGCAAGATGGTCTGACAAATATGACACGCTGGTCAAAACATGAATAATGTCACAATCCCATCGTCTACATCGTCAAACCCTTCCTGCCAGACAGTGGCACATACCCACAGACTGGTATGTGCCGCTGATATGCGGGTATGTGCCACAGGTGATTTACACTTGGTATCTACCCAGGAACGACGAGAACACACATGGGCAATTTTCACGCACGAGTGTTATGAAATACCAGACATCGGTAGCGTCGACACGACGAATGCAGAGAATAAATGTCAGGGTCCCAGCTGGAATTTAACCCAAGCATTCTGCATGGCAATGAAGCATTTTACCACAGAGCTACACCAGGTCTCGGAAGTACTTTTCAAATAGACGCTAATCTTCGTGAAACGTCAATACTGGTTGCATTGCTGCCTACCCAATTTTATAAACACTACATATGTACTTCTTTGATACAGCCGTCATGTCGGGTTAAGGTCAATTGTGGTTAATTGCCATGCGCTGAAGTTGATTTATGTAGCAGTGTCCTGGGCCAACATCCTCAAGAGCATCAGCGCTTCATATCAGCTTTTGGTATTTCTAATATGAATGTTCCAGTCGGCATCATTGCGCAATTACGAACAACTGGTTATATAGACATCTGCAACTCTTCAGCATATGTCTGTGCATGCAGCAATTGTACATATATTTAGCGTCATTTCATGACGTGTTGCTCAAAAAAAAATTGTAAAACAGTCACCTTCCCTCCACATGCTTTGCTTAACGTCGATTCCGAGGTACGTGGGACCTGCTGAACTTTTTTTTTAATAGCGTTATTGAATTAATAAGCTGTTTATGTGTAAACACCAACCTGATAACTGACTACTTATACAATGTAAAAAGAAACAGAAGCAATAAAACACAAAGTCATAAGCTTATCTTACCCAGGCTATGTTTTGTGATGCACTGCTCCTATTTGCCAAATCATCTCAAACATGAACAGAACAGTCTCATGTCAAGAAGCTCCTTGAGCTCCTTGTGCGACGGGGCAAAACGTGTCAGGATTGATAAATAAATCAATAAGATTACCTCAAACAAGCAATCTTAATATTTATGTTCTTTCTAGCAAGAACTGGCTAAGACATAGGGTTACTAACTCTTCAAAGAAGGAAGTCAAAAGGGGGAGGAAGTCCGTTGTTGCTTTATTATTACAGCCTCTTGAGGAGGTACTTGCAGCCACAGCTTGCCAGCATATTTTTTCGCGCAGGCGGTTTGCGCAAACTAGGTATTCCGTAGCATGACGCACATTGTTGAACGTGCGTTGAATCACACAAAAATTTGTAAATAAATGGTCCAGACCGAATGCGGGACATACAGACGTTCGATTTTGGAGTTTTGCAGACGCGCAGCACCACCTGTCGGCAAGGTTTTGGATAGTGCAAAGCCCGACTCCCTCGCACAGTTTGCTCCGTGACCATGTGCAAGAAGTACAGGCAAAACGAGAAAAACAGCTACGAGTTTCTATCTGTTAGTCGAACGCCCGGCCCGGTTCAGTCGCCAGAACGACGGGAAAAGAACAGCAGACGAAACAGCTCTAAGCTGTATGAAAAAAGACCTCAGTCGACGCTACTGTTGCTTTGGGAATTGCCACAGATGTGAAAAACTTCAGTTTTACCGTTTTCCATGGGTGTCGTGAAGCAGAACGGGGAGAGTGCTGGATACGGGCCGTTGCAAACGTGTTGGGTAAAAGAATTACTTGTGTTGTCCACAGACGTTCGCATGAGAAAGTGTGATAATATAGGTCTCTTGTAATTGTTTTTAGAAACCTTGACAGAGAACAGCGGTAACTTTGATTATGAAGCTCAACAGAGCATCTGACCTCGATACGCACCGTGCAAAATTAGACTTGTGACGCGCGCGATAAACATCACGCCTGCCGCTACCACCGATAATCTGAGGTGGTTGCAACCACGCAGTATTGCACACGTAGGCTTTGAATGTTAGAAGTTCGGCTTTGACTAGTGCATGTGAACACGTGCGTCATACAGGCATAAATCGTGAAATATTGGTTGTGACCACAACCAGGTGTTTTTTGCCGTTGGTCTTCGCGATAGCCGGAGCTATCTAGAAGGCTTCGGTTTCGCCTTTCGTTGTACACCAAGAAAGAGGACACGTGTGTATTCCCATTTGCAGTATATACAAACAAAATATAAACGTCAACATAACATGCTAGGATGAGTAATCAAACAGTTAAATGCACAGGAAGCAAGAGATGGATGGAGAATGCAACTGCAAAGGTGAAAGTCGCCGGGGCCCTTTGTGCCGCAAAAGGCAGCTTTGTACCACTGATCGTAAGATACATTGTTTATGCACTTCATCGCTTTGTCAACATGCGTATGCCCAAATATATGCATTTAGGCATTATAGAACACACGTCCAAGTGCTTGCCTGAACTCAATGTCATGCGATGCTCGCTTGCATTTGAATTGCAAAATACAGCACGCCGAAATAACTGAGACATCTTTGCCTAGTACCTGCAGTTCACTTTGATGACTCTCGTACTTTTCTGAAGCGAGGTTAAATTGACAGTAGAAGCTTGCAAGGTCCTTGATTTTCAGAAAACCGCGCTTCAACACCAATGAAAGAGAAGGGCCTATGTACGTCCGCTTGCGGACGGCTCTTTGCACTACCCAGTTATGGCCAGCGCGGCGATGACGGCGCTGATGGCGTCGTTTTTCACAGCACCGCCTGGGCAAGATTCGACGGCTATAACTCTCCCGAAGGGACAGCGCGGAACTCTGGAATCACAAATGAATAACCAATAGCTAGAAATGTGATTTCCTGTATCAGCTATGCACATGACAGGCAGTTTGCTTTTTGTTCAGCAAACTTGTGTTACCTCCTCTTCTGTGCGATGTGAATTTGTTGCTTGTGAATGTTGTGCATTTCTGCTATATGGTCTGAACTGGGGTCTGCGTCCAAGCTGGTGGATAATATGACATACAAAAAGCGCTACGTGACCAAAACACACAGGGTGAGACGCAATTTAGAGCTCACTTGCCTGAGAAGGGCCTATGTAGGTCCACTGCCAGATAATATGACATACAGAAAACACTAATGAGACGCAATTTGTTGCCCACTTGCTATAAAACACGTATGGATATTGAGCGCCTCCTTCGTGAAAACAGCAGGAAACATGAACACGCAGGGGATGTTCACTGCCTGGCAGGATGTACCACATATATCTACAATTTTAAATATGATGCAGCCACGAGATGGACTCACCAAGACCGCCTCCAAACGTCTCGTCGTTGAGAGCATCGTAGTCGTCCTCAACTTCAGCCGTAAACAGCTCGTCCTCAACACTCAACGAATGCAGCCCCTCCTGAAAAAAAAAAATTAGGTACTCTACAAGACATACTTAAGAAACGGCGCACTAAGCACACCTTACATACGCACTTAACCAAGTCGCTAATGCCGCGCCACTGCACAAGTTTCTCTCAAATAAGTCAACCTTTGCAGACCTCGCAATGCGTGAAAAGCAGGGCTCGCTCAATTAGCATGCACACTGAAAGATAATGGGCGGTATTAATTGTTTCGTCATCACTGCGTCTTCAGGAATCGTGAACTTGCCCGCTCTTTTTCCGAAATGCCAACTTCGCATGCATTTCGTTTTGCAATAAGAAATCGTGTCAACATATTCCCGCCTAACGTCCTAAGTAGTGAGAATCTAACTGTTTTGTGGCACGGAATTGTGACCTGGGATCGTAGAAAACGTTACTCAAAAACAGCCGCCCCACAGTTATTACAGAGAAGTGCATCAAGCCCTATGGAAAATTTGCATTAAGAACGTGTGATAGTCATGCGTGCGAACGTTCATATACAGCTACAGAAAGCGGAGCGCGGGAATCGGACTTGCCTGGGACTCCTTGCGAAAAGCCGCAAATCCTTTCGACATGATGTTAGCGCGTGCGATGGTCGGTGTACACAAGTGTTGTCTCGACGAGGTATCATATCAAGGAGATGTTAGGCTTAAATTCCGTCACTGATTCTGTCGATGCAGTGACACAACGGAGAAGAGCACGGCACAGCGCAGCTGCAGTGAGATAACTCGACCCATATCAGACGACAGTTCCCCAGAGAACACTTCCCTTCTTCGACGAGATAAACTGCTGCTCGGGGCTGGGAATGCACACAACCTGTACAGCACACCAACCACACCAACACAATTTCTAGAGAAGAGAAATTGCACCTTTGACAGAGCAACGAAAATAAGTGTAGCGGGGACCATAAAGTTTCTCGCAATAAAACCTAGAGGGAGATCCGGCGCTAGTGAGCTTCTGAATGCTAAAGTCCCTAAAAAATATTTTGAAATAATGAAATATATTGAAATATATTTGAAATATATTGAAATATATTTTAGTTTATTTTTAGGGACTTTATCCGAATGCAGGAGAATTACAGGATAGGTGAGCTTCAAACAACGCCTCCTCTATTCAGATGCCTGCCGCATGAGAAGGAAAACAGCTGCCACACCCTTTCTCTCTTTCAATTTAGAATAAATAGATGGATGAATAGATGGATAGATGAATATGGCTGTACCCTTTAGATAGGGCAGTGGTCAGCGCCTTTAAGCCGTAATACTTAATGAATTATAAACTATATTTTTTTATTTTTTCCCTTAAATAGTAAGGTTGAGGATTCGTACTTTGCAGTGAAGAGTTTAATTTTCACTTGTGCTTTGACTTTAGCCACCAATCAGATAACCTCTTTCTAGTTAATTCTACCCGCTTAAAGTCTATTTTGCCCTCCCTGTTCCATTCCTATTTTACCCTCCCTGCAGAATGTTCTTTGTCGCTAGCGTCACCTGTGGCGGACGGTGCAACAACGCAATATTTTGCATAGCCTCCAAAACAGTGGTGAACAATTGGAGGTCTCGAACAACTTTCGACTGACGCGCCCCTATGGGCCGCAGGTGAAAAACGCTTAGCTGGTGCCGCGCGCCACCCAAGCCAGGCAAACCCGTTAACATAGATAATCTACGTCCGATATCCCTTACGTCATGCGCAGGCAAAGTCATGGAGAAAGCCATACAGCTTTGCTTTACAGATAAAGAAGAACATCACATCCTTCCTGACACCATGTTTGGCTTTCGCCCGCTTCTTTCAGCTCAAGAGGTCCTTTTACAGCTCAAACATGAGGTAATCGACCTACCTACCCCAGGTGCCCGACGACAAGAAAGAGCCGTCCTAGCAATAGATTTTAAGGCCTTCGATAACGTAAGGCACTACACCACTTGATACAACTCGGCTGTGGACCAAGAATGTATGCATACGTGAAAGTTTTCTTAGAAGGACGGACGGCCACAATACATATAGGTGATTTATCTTCACAACCTATCAACATGGGTAACCGCGGCACCCCCCAAGGCGCAGTGATATCCCCACTCTAATTTAATATTGCCCTCCTTAAACTACCGCATGCCTTACAACAAATTCCGGGAATCCACCACGTCCTGTACGCAGATGATGTCACTAAATGGTCCAAGAGCTCACTGCAACTCATAGAGAGCAACGTCCAAAAAGCAGCCTCGACAGTCCAGTTAATCGGTATCGCAGCGTATCTGGAATGCTCACCCTCTAAGTCAGAATTGCTTGTTTTTCGGCACAGATATTCGAAAACCACACCTCTCAAAATCAAGATAGAGGACACCTACGTCCAGGAAGTCAGAAACATCAGAATCCTAGGAGCATACTTTAGCAACAAGGGAAACAACGGGATCCCAATACAGAAACTTAGGAACAGGTGCCTCCAAATTTCCCGTATGGTTAGCCGGATTGCCAATATATAAGCACAGAGGGCTGAAGGAACACGACCTCCTACGCCTCTTTCAAGCTTTTGTAGTCAGCCTTGTAACATACAGCTATCCCTACCTACAAATATCCAGAACATATGAACAAAAGATCGACGCCATATTACGCGATACCCTCAAAAAGGCACTGAACCTCCCTAGATGGACGCCTACAGAACGCCTCCAACAACTGGGACTTCACAACACCGCAGCAGAACTATTCAAAGCCCATCTCGACAATCAAATAATCAGGCTAGCCCTCTCCAGAACTGGCACGGCGGTGCTTTCTAAACTAAACATCACACCACCAACACATGTTAAGAACAAAGGCTGCCGGAGGCATGGCGGACAGGCATCATCATCAAGCCTCTTCCTCGGAATATGAACCCCACATTCCATGCAGATAGGCGCAAAGCCAGAGCCAAAGCTCATGATAAATACTCAGATGACGAGAGCGCCCTTTTCGTGAACGCTGCCCGGTCACACACAGGACAGTCAGTGCACGGTGGCTGTAGTAAACCAGGGGAAATGTGTCGGCTGCGTGTCTACCATACAGGATGATGTTACAAGCATGGAGGAGGTCGCTATTGCCCTCGCGCTCAGAAACCCAGCATCAACCTTCGTCCTTACGGACTCAATGACGGCCTATCGCAACTACCTTAAAGGCAAAATCAGTCCTCTAGCACGCAGAATACTTTCACAAGCAGCAGAAGGCCGTACTGAGGGAGACTGGAAACAAGTCATACGGATACCTGGCCACTGTGGAGTTAGAGGCAACGAGCTAGCTCATGCCTCCACCCGTGCTCTCTTACCCCGGGACTTTAACTTCAGTGTAGGGACTCCAGCCCTTCCAGATCAGACGGCCCACCTGACCACGTACACTGAAATATTACAAAACCAAAAGCTTGCGCGGAGGAAATATTCTCCACCCCATCCTCAACTCAGTAAAGCCGCACAGGTAGCCTGGCACCGCTTACAAACGTTATCATATATGAACCCACACGTACTCTCCAAAATCGACCCTGATAAGTACCCTAACCAACATGCAGGCTATGCAACACTGATATAGCTGCACTTCATCACATGGCATGGAATTGCCAAAGCAACACATCCAGATTTCAGTAGAGATGGATGGGAGGCGGCACTGTCCAGCCCGGACCGGGGGGCCCAAGAGGCCCTGGTGGCCCGCGCAAGGACCAGGGCGCAAGTTCACGACATTACATTCCAGCACCATTCCAGACAGGTGACTGTGGCTACGCTCTCAACAACTTTATTACAGAATGGGTTCCTGTACTCTCAACCATAGAGTTATTATTTAGACCTTCCTCTATGCTCTCAACGTTACAAGAATGGTAATGCCATCTACTAAACAAATCTGCAAACGCTCTGTTCAGCGAGCAATAAATTGAACAAAAGACCGTTTTTTCTTTTTAAAAAATAGTTATAATCAACATCATACAATTTTAGTTTCTTTAATACGTGAACAAGCTTGTTTGCAATTTGTATTGCAAAAAGTTTGAGTGTTTAAATTGTCTAACTTTAGCGCTTATAAAAAAATTGCAATGGACACATTGGCAACGTTTTGGGATGTCAGCGGTTTAGAGCCAGTGGCCCGTTGGTAATGTACGACGAAAATCTGATATCGGGGACTACAGTATTCTGTAGTGCTATGATGTCGGGTTTGTGATCGAGCGTGCTTAGAGAGAATAAAACACTTATTTGCGACAGAAAAAGGAGTGACGGTGTATAGGCTCCTTAGTCAGTGTATTTTTTGTCGGCAGATGGCGCTCTAATCAGTTAAAGGTTACTTTAACGATCAAGTAATTGTTCAGGTTTTTAACTTTCGAATAGTGAGCGTTTCGCAACTAAACTTGATGTTAAGTCTTTGTAACTTGCAGATTGACGCGCAGCCTAGGAGAAACAATAGAAAACACTCCGTGCCTGCAGCTTTCAAGTGGCTGCGTAAATTATACATAAATTAAAAACTTTCATGCGTGTCTAAAATGTGTCTACAGAGTTATGTGGTCTTATTGTGCCTGCAGAAAGAGGGCTACTAACGTAACCTCACAACTATCTTCATCAAGTTTGCAACCCTTCTGATAACAAAAGCACCGCAAAATTATTATAATTGTACTTTTTTTTGTCGACAGCTGGCGCTTCAATAATTTTATGGCCATTTAATTGATCACTTTAGTGTTTGGGTTTTTACCTTTTGCTAAGTCGGGCGTTTTGCAACTAAATTTAATATTAGGCCTTAAAAACTTGCATATTAACGCGTCGTCGAGGAGCAATAATAAAAAAAAACACCACGTGGCTGCAGCATTTAAAGTGGTTGCGTAAATTAAAACTACAATGAGAACTTTTATGTGTGCCTACAATGTGTCAACAGAGTTATGTAGGAAAAAGCTATTAACGTAAAACCACTTCTCGCTTCATTAGGCGTGCGGCGCCGTTAACTGGCATAAACACCGAAAAAAAAAAATGTTCGTGATCACTGATTGTATCATTTTCTTTTGTCAAAAGCTGGCGCTACAAACAGTTAGTGGTCATTTAGTTGTTCAGTTTGGTGCGCGGGTTTTTACTTATGTTGTGTGGGCGTTTTGCAACTGTTTTATAGTGCCCTCGTGAGACGAGCGAGGACGGCGGCCCGTGCCAATGGGATGCCGGACTGAGGAGCCCACTCACCAATACACTTTTCTCGGTCGCAAATAAATGTTTTATTCTCTCTCTCTCTCTGGTAAACTATATGCCTCGCATAATCTGGTGTTATCAAACCTGACGATGGTTATAGCGCGAGAACAGAACGACGACAAAGAGGCAAGAAGGACACGAAAAGGACACGCTTCGGGCACGCGTGTCGCTCTGTGTCTCGAGCTCTCGAACAGCGACTGACGTTTGCCTGCTCCGAGGGCTTGGCCAAGAATTCAATAGTTGTGATTTTGTTTATTCTTTTTTTTTTCGTAAGCTTTTCTATAGTGTCCTTATTGATTAGCGAGTGTATTTTCAGATAGTACGACCAGGCTGATGCCGTTTTCCTCACCTGGACCAGGGGCTTTCCTCTGGTCTGCTTCTCTTCCTTCGCAGGAATTGCCAGTGGACTTGTTTTTACGCAATGGCATCTCATACGTTCCTGTGGCATTGGTCCCAAGCAACGATGGTATCATACGGATGAAGAATCCAAAAATGATTCAGACGGAGTTGAGAGCTGCTACAACTCACTACCAAAGCATCACAGAGGTCAGGCAGTTCGGCAAGGGTGGCATTCTTCGCTTCTCGTCTGACCAGCTCTGTGTTCGAGACCTACTAAAATGCTCGGTATTCGCTACCAACCCGGTGAGCGCATTCATTCCACCTCACCTACCTTGCGTCAAAGGCCTCGTTCGGGGTGTCGATGTCAACTTGACCCAAACTGAGATATTAGATATGTTTTCAGAAGCA